AGAGAGAGAGGAGAAAGAATTTAATATTGTGAATTGCAAAGTGTGAAAAAATAGAGTTTTGCCAGTTTTGGTCAAAATTCAGTAAAAAAACCCTCAATAAAAAAAACCAGGAGGTGTTTTTGTCACCTCACCCAGGCCAGARTTGCTGGAATGTTCCAGGGCACCCGAAAATTCCCTGGCAAAGGGTTTTGCCTCTCGGAACTCCAGCCGGGCTGAGGGAGCTGCAGGGATTGGGGCAGGGAGGTGCCCCTGGGTGTGCTGATCCCTGCCAGGACTGAATTCCACCGGGATTGGGGCAGAGCGACTCCAAAAGGGTCCCAGATTAAACGGGAATGCAGAATAAAGGGTCCCAAATAAAACGGGAATGCAGAACAAAGGGTCCCAGATTAAACGGGAATGCAGAATAAAGGGTCCCAGATTAAACGGGAATGAGGAATAAAGGGTCCCAGATGATTAAAGGGGAATGCAGAATAAAGGTCCCAGATAATTAAACGGGATGCAGAATAAAGGTCCCAGATGATTAAACGGGAATGCAGAATAAAGGGTCCCAGATTAAACGGGAATGCAGAATAAAGGGTCCTAGATTAAACGGGAATGAGGAATAAAGGGTCCCAGATTAAACGGGAATGCAGAACAGAGTCCCAGATTAAACGGGAATGCGGAATAAAGGGTCCCAGATTAAACGGGAATGCAGAATAAAGAGTCCCAGATGATTAAACAGGAATGCAGAACAAAGGGCGCTCCTTGGAGTGGATGTGCCAGGAGTGGGAACAATCCTGACAGGAATTCTCTCCTCTGGCATTTCCCATCCCCACTGACGGTTCCTGGGAATGACCTGGGAATGCCACCCKGGTTCCTCACAAAGCCCTGGGATGGCAGGAGAGCCCCAGCACAGAACAGGGTGAGACATCCCATTGCCTCCGCCCCAAACCATTCCCTGAGCGGCAATCGGGAAGGATTCCCAACCTTTGCCATGGGCAGAGGGGAGGCTGCAGGGGCTGGAAGGGCGGGTTGTGTTCCGAGGAACAGGGACAGCATTCCCACCCCATTAACATCCCTTCGGGAAGCCAAAGAGAGCCCTGCTCCGGTGCTTTAATTAACGAGGAGAAAATCTCCCAGCAGGAACGACAGCGCGAATGAAACCATCGGGATCCTGACAGAGTTTGGTGGTTTGGGTAAGGAAGGGCTGCTCCCAGTGTTGGGGGAAAAAATACAAATATCAGGATCCTCACAGGGGTTTGGTTAAGGAAGGGCTGCTCCCAGCTCTTGGGGAAAAAATGCAAACGTTGGGATCCTGACAGGGTGCAAGGGGTTGGGTAAGGAAGGGCTGCTCTCAGTTCTTGGGGGAAAAGGTGAAACCATCGGGATCCTGACAGGGGTTTAGTGGTTAGGTTAAAGAAGGGCTGCTCCCAGCTTTTGGGGGAAAAAATGCAAACGTCGGGATCCTGACAGGGTTCGGTCGTTTGTTTAAAGAAGGGCTGCACTCAATTCTTGGGGGGGAAAAATGAAACCATCGGGATCCTGACAGGGTGCAGGGGGTTGGTTAAAGAAGGGCTACTCCCAGCCCTTAGGGAAAAAAAATGAAACCATCGGGATCCTGATAGTGTTCGTGGTTTGGTTAAAAAAGAGCTGCTCCCAGCTCTTTGGAGAAAAAATGCAAACGTCGGGATCCTGGCAGGGTGCAGTGGTTTGGTTAGGAAAAGGCTGCTCCCAGCTCACCMAAGGGATGCAGGAATGGGACAGGGAGGTGTTAAAAGGGTCGGCTGTGGGTTCAGAAGGGCAGCAGGACTGGGTGACCCCTCAGTACCGAGCTAATGTGCTCCTGGTTCCGTCGGACCCGCTCCATCTCCGGTGTCACCGGCGTGGCCGTGCCGGCCCCTAAACCCTCCTTGTACAACACCTGCGAGGAACAGCAGCGTTTCCACAGAAAATCCCGCTCAGCACACGCCAAAATCAGCAATCCCACCGTTTATGGGATTATGTTTAGCGTTAGGATCGGCTGGGATTCACCGCACTCTCACTCCAGAGGCAGGGATTAAGGAGGAGGCTGTGCCGGATTATTCAGAAAGGAGAGAAAGGCTCGGGGTAACACAAACACGGGAGAAACACCACAGCTCCAAAGGGATGTTCTGCTGCCCGGTTTAGCTCAGGAAATGCCGGGATTATTTTCAGGCGGGTTGGTTCTTAGAAGGAAAGCAGTRAAGGTGTAAATCCCCCGAAAGCACAAACAAACAGGGGGAACTCAACGAGCTAAAATCCTGCCAGGACACAGGCAGGATGAAAACCCCCTGAGGAAGAAGGAGGTGAGGAGGTTTTGGAGCACGGCATTATAACAACAGCGTTGTTATAACTCCTGCAGGCTGCAAATACCGAGCTGAGCTGCTCCTGGTTGCGTTTGGCTCGCTCCATGTCGGGGGTGACGGGCGTGGGGGTGCCCGTGCCCAGCTCCTCCTTGTACAAAACCTGCGGGGACAGCGCGGGATGAGACCTTGGGGACATCCCTGATCCCTTACTGGGGCTGCACATTGGGATCGCACCCATAAACGGCACAATTGCCATCTGATAAACTGCCACCACCTCCAAATCATTGATCTTGGATGTGTCCTCATTTATAGGACACAAATTTAAATATTCTGCTGACCCAGCCCTGAGAGGATCATTTTACTTTTCATTCGAGTTCAGGAAACGCTTAGAATCACTTGTCAGGCAGGCACCATTTCTTTATAGGATTAACCAACAGTTTAACCTTTCCTGGAATTGTTCAGTGCACAAAGATTTCATTGTGGGCTTTATTTATCTTAATTCTGTTCCTGGTTGTTTGCACCACTGTTTTAATTGGGTTCAACCTCCAGGAAGAGAAA